CGCTGGAGTCACACTGAAGAAAGAGCAAAAGGTTGTGAGATACAAAAAGAGGAAGAAAGCACTGACTTCTGGGGGAACAGCATTCCATTAGATAGCTGGAGTATGTGCTGCAGAATGGTGGGGTACTACATTATCTCCTGGTAAGTCCTTAAGAAAGATGAAGAATGAAGTCACCCATATTCAGCCAATGGGAAAGAAAAGCTAAAAAAAAAAAAATCATTAACAAAACCCAATTCCTTCAGGTTTACTCTAGATTTTAATTATGTAACCAATGGAATAATAACATCCTGCTCATGTAACTGCTTTAAAGGGATCACACATTTCATTAGGTCTTTGCAATTAGACTATGATATTAAATACTAATAAAAACTACTTAAAGTCTTCTGACAAGAATAGCTGTGTATTGTAATAGACACGTATTAGTACTCATGGATTATAGCAGGGGTTGTCCAACTTCACTGGGGCCAAGGGCTGCACATGGGGCCAGCATGCACTCCCCCAACTGCACACCATATGGAAGGTGTGCTGTACCCTGGGATCCCATCATCCCACCACCATTCCAGCAGCATGCATCCTTCCATGTAGTGCTGGCAGTGTGCAGACCCCCACTCTCCGCCACATTGGCTGTGCAGAGGGCATACAGACCTACCCTGTGTGGTTGTGGGAGAGGCAGCAGCTGGGCCTACAAGCTACATGTTATCACATAGGCCACCAGTTGTACAGCCCTGGATTATAGGAAGGATCAAAATCTTTGGGAAGGTAGATATACATGGAAGAACTAAGGGATGACTACTAGACTACTAGGTAAGGGGCATATTTCCTCCTGTTTAACAAAGAACAAGCTTGGTTGGTAGGGAGTAGGAATAACAATTTTTAAATGATGTCCTATAGACCACTTCATGGTCCAGAAGCTGAATTTATACCAAAAACAAAATTCTTTCTAGCCTTCAAGCACTGAGTCTTCCCAATAGTGAAATATAGTGCTCTTTGAGGATTACTCACCCTTTACAGTGGCTAAAAGGGCCAACGTGACTTCAAAGGGCTCAAAAGCCCTGGGTCTAGCCAGGAAAGGATGCCAGGAGTGCAGACACTATGGAAGATATCCAGAATACTTTTGTCTTGAACTTCCTGGCAAGATTGGTGTAAGAAGTGGATCAGAGTTTGGGCAAAGAGGGGCTAGGTAAGTGGCAAGGATGCAGCATACAGTACTTCAGGGATTCTGGGCCTCTCTGTAGGCAGTCTAGGTAAGTGGCTGTTACTTAGGCAGGCTTCTAGGACTAGGTGAAGCTGAGGATCTCATCACTCCTCGGCTGCTCAAAGATTGGGAAGATATAAAGCTGGCTAAAAGCTAACCGTGGCTCTTGCTGCCCATGGAAGTTCTGTGTGGCCCCTCTGGGACGCATAACGTATACTCTTTCTCCAGAATGTTTTTTAACCAGCTGAGCGTATCACAACACACCATGCAGTTCCTCCACCCTTCCATTTCTTATACATTTAATGAAGGTTGAAACAGAAGGGATGACACAGTAGGACAGAACCAAGTTGCACAGTTATATGTCGAAATAAAAGCAACATGCATAGTAGGTGACCATGGGAGATTTGCTATTAATAAATGTAGATTTCTGCCCTTGGTGACTAAAAATAAACAGAACAGCTACAGTGTCTGCAATTCTCGGGTTTCTTTCATATTAGTTTATATATACAGCTTTGCTAACACCGACTCTTAAAAAAAACCAGGACCCGATTTTCCCCAAAATTATAAGATTAGCTTTAAAATATTAAGATTTAAAAATGAAATATTTGTGCTGCTCTTTTTATTTTCCTTCCCCTTTGGGAGCTTTCAGGGTATGCTCAGTTCATACTTCCAAGTTTTCCTCTACAAATTTATTTTAGGCCAAAGCAAGTCTAATCTAAAATCACCGGTTGCCAGGGGCCAAATAGTTACATAGAACCCCAAAGATTGTAAGACAAGTGCAAAAGTTGGCAACTTTGTATCTGAACCAATATATAATCTTGCTTAAATATAATATGGAAAACATGCTATCTGCCTTATTTTCAAATATAAGTTATATATATGCCGGTTCCTTATGAAGTAGGCTATTGCCTTTCCCAGTGTTGTCCTTCTGGCACCTTTCACAAATCCTTAATTCATGTTAAAGAGGGGATAAGGATTTAAAACTACTGAAATCGCTCCAATTAATTGAAATTGTACTACCTTTCAGATATTGTTTCATATATTTGTCCTCAGTTTCAACAAGAACTTGCTCCCTCCCAGCCTTGCTGCTCTTTGAAGCTGTGGTGAGACACAGTGTTGACTTTGTGACTGGGTTTGTCATTTCCATAGCAACAATCTGATGTCATCATCACAGGATTCTGACTTCACTGCAGGCTCCAACAAAAAGGAAAGCTGGGCTGTGAGAACACTTATTAAGGACTTCAATAACAGCAGATGGATCTCAAAAAACCCCCAGAACCTGGCCAAATATAATTTTATTCAGGTGTCAATTCTCTCTTTCTTTCTAGGTTTGTTCTGGTGGGGAGGTTTGTCTAAAAAGAACAGAAAAAAAAAATTAAATCATCGTGCAATTAATCAAACACTCTGCTGGTTTCCCAGTAGGCAGATAGCAAAATCAGCTAATTACTTCATTCAAAAACATCTGTTAACCTATTTGTATAGGGCTGTATTTTCCCCGTTACTCCCTTGATCCCATCTCAAATACAGGGTGTCAAATTAGTTTCTCTCTGCTCTCTAGACACTGACTGGTGTCAGTGAAAAGTCGCAAACATCTACAATAGTTTGTTTCTAATTCCTTCTGAGATATTTTATTGTCAGCTCCTGGAACCATCTTAAGTGTTTGGATAATCTAACTCTTTTCTGACTCTTTTTGTGTCTTCCTCTGTTTTCAGTTATTTTTCTTTTTCCTTTACACATGCAGCTGATTCATTCCTATTTCCTCCCATCTCCCTGGTGAATGTGGAAGAAAAAGAGCCATTGAGATTGCTGGTTCTGTATGCCTACTCTGTTTTTCAAAACCCTACAGCCTTCCTCAGCAAGATTACTCCTTTATGCTGCTGTAAAATCTTTTATTTTTCTTCACAGCTTGTGCAATCCTAGTTTCATTTTTCACTAGTGGTTTTCCAGAGCTATTTCTTGTATTCTGTAATCAACACAAGGTTAGTGTCTTATCTACAGGGTTAGTGGCTCAGATACTCTTCTCTTTTCCTTTATCATTCCCTGCATTTCCCTAGCTATTCATGGTGGTTGTTTACTACTTCCAGTAAAAGTTTATTTCTTAATGTTGCTCATGCACTGAGTTCCCAGAAACCTACCTCAGTGTTCTGCCTTTCTTTTTTTGTCTTTCTTCCTGGCTTGACTCTACTATGACCACTGACCTTTCTAGTAGTCTGAACTTCCTCTAAAATGTGCTTAGCTGAATCTAAAGATGGGCTTTTGGGGACACTTCACATCCCAGTAATTTGCAAGTTCCCTCTTCAGAGGAACATACGGAACCTCAACTAAGTTAAATGAGTGTTCTTCATATGTATTTATGCCTGATGTATATCAGAAGGACCAGCTTCCCCTACAGACAGAAGGGTATTCAATGGTTTATACAGCTATCCCAGAACAAACTTTGGTCATGATTGAAACAGGGTTGGCAAGCTGATCAATTGACCAGTTAACTATTGTCAATTGACTGTATATTTTTTTGACTGGTCAAAGATTATAGTAATTTTACAAAAAATAGCCTAGTGATTACAGTACCCAATCCTGGCCCCTGCTCCCTTGGTTGTTTATGCATTTTACATTAAACTGCCATTGAATAGAGGATAGACGTAATCCTGAGAACAGGGACTGAGAGCCCTCACCTGAGCAGTTATTGTTTTGATTGCAGTTTTGAACCTAAGCATCTGAAGTACTTCCAAGTCCTGTTTTAGATACCTAAATCCTTTTTGGATCTGGCCTTTGGGTACCTAAACCAGGCCTCCAGCAGACCTATAGCACTTATCACCAAATTGCAACTCAATTAGTCACCTCTCTCCCTCTCCTTCCCACCTGCTACCTAAGCCTGGAGGTACGTAAGCTTATTAGGTGCCTCCCTGTTTAACTTTAAAGCCGGTAGACACCTCTATTCTTTCTCTGGGCATGCTTCGAACTGACCTGGTTTGAGCAGCTCAGGACTCAGCCCTACCCTTGATTGGATTACAGATTTACTTTATTAGTGTATATTAAAAGGAAGGTACAGAATTGAAGGGGTGGAAGGAAATAGCCACCCTTGTCCAGATCTTTGTATCTCATACAGGATGAGTGGGGGAAGGACACAACTAAGTTATATGGCAAGACTGTAGCCTAGTTAGCTTGAGGGTGGGTTGTGCTGGGTTGGAAGGGGAGGGGATAGGGGAGCTAAAGGTGCAGCACTTCATCTTAATCAAAAGAAACACTTCCCAATCTAGTAGGTGTTCTCAGAACACAACAAACAGACTAATGGGATTGGGTCCCACTCAAAATGCACTTCTGACCACTTTCCATTAAAAACCAACCAGAGGAGGAGCCCACTTTGTATCTAATAATCTCTTCATTAGATCCCAAGCTTAGGAAGGAGGAGACGCATGTTCCCAGTCTCATCCTGATGAGTTTCTAGCTCACACTACTTAACAAACAATGGGTGAGCCTGACTAGGAGCATTCTCCAATTCTCCTGTAGAAGACCAGTCCTGGGTTCTAGTTTCCTGCTTGTAGCATCATTTTACCTTAAACAGCCATTGGATAAAACACATGAACAGTACTTGGGAATAATCACATGAACAGTCACTAAGGAATAATTCCTACTTGCTAGTTCTAGGCGACAACCTGTGCAGTACAAGGTTTTTCTAAGCCATTCTGAGGTACCTAACTCTTGTCATACAGTGCTCAAGGAGCCTGCATTAGGGAATGTATGGTGGAGGTTAGGGTTTAAAGGTCAGATGCTAAGTCCCTTATTGGATTGAGCCCTTAGACTCCTCGCTCAAAGGGCAGTATGGCACTGGATGTGGCAAGCAATCCTTAATGCCTGTGATAGGTTCAGAGCCTGACAAATGGGTAACTGCATATTGGCCCTTTTCACTGAATTCTTGTCCAGTTAAAATAACACAGGTTATTTTCCCCCAATTTCCTCTTCTTTCCTGGAAAAAAAAAAAGAAGTCCAGCCATAGAAACCACTATCAAAGAGATCTTCAGATCCTGTAGTTACTCTATAATTGTCAGATGTACCTCAGCGGACTCTCCCTGTTTGGTCTCTTCACCTCTCTGCCCTGGATTTCTGATGTACAGGCCAGGCTGCATGTTTATATTCTAGACAGCAATTCTGACCATGCTGCTGATTAATCTTATTGAAAATTCTTCACTGAGGACGGCTGACCATTCTTGACCACCCACTCAGAATAATTCTTATCCTGCATTCTTGCAAGCAGAATTAGTTGCAAAGGGATCTCCTATGGAAAGAGTTGGGAGGGTGAAGCTGAGTGTCTCTGCAGTTTATTTCATTCAGTTTGTAAAGCATGCACCTATACCTGTGAGACAGCTGCTCAGTGTGTATTTAAAGCTGGTGTTGCCAATCCATTGCCACGGCTATAAGAGAGCTGTACAGTAATTCTTGTGGAAACAACTATACTTAGCAACAAGAATGGGTTTTTTTCAGTTAGAAAGGGCAGTTCATTTTTTATTTATTCCAGCACCACAGATAAATATACCTGTGAACATTCATTGCTTTCAAAGAGGATTTGATTTTAGAAATCATGGGCTAAATTAATCAACTAGATGACAGGTAGATTTTCATATTTTTTATTTTATTAAACATCATTTTTTTTTTACTTGTTAACATTCAAAAGGGAATCAATGAGGTGTTCTAGTGATGATTACTGAATGTCTGTGCTTATGGAAAAGGAAGCCATAAGTGAAGACAATGGTACAATTCAAAATGCATGAAGGACCAGTTTTCTACAAAACAGTAGCTGGTATTATGGAACGAAGGGAAACAAACCCAAATTGAAACTTTGATCCTAAACACCACTGATTGCTGGGAAAGCTCCACTGTGGATCTACCTGGGTTAAGAACATTGGTAGGAGTAATTAATCTTCACAACTGTCTCATTAAAGTAATTATTATTGCCCATCTTAAAGGCAGAGAAGGTAAAAGCCTTGTTTGAGGTCACAAATGTAATCAGGTGTTTGAAGTCACAGATGCATGGCAGACAGTAGAACTATTCTGCCTTTCTTGTGCTATACAGTTACTCCCCTGCTCTTTCAAATCCTAAACCTTGAATCCTGGTTATTCTTTGGAAAATCCCAACCCTCAAAGCATCTATAAATTAACCTTTGGATCTGCTGCACCATGTCCCAGTAATCAGCTCTTTATGGGAAGGTCCTTCTTTAATAGAAAGGCCTCAATGCTTGTACAGAATCCATTCTTTGGAATTTATTTACTGATGAAGTTATTTATCATGTGGTTAAACAAACACATATAGAAATGGTATCCTTCTCCATTAAATGGCATTAGATTGTAGAGGTTATTTTTACAGAAAGCTTTTCAATTTGTAGAAAATGTTATTGGGGTCAACCTGTTAAATTTGGTGGGATTTTTCATTAGGAAAAAGTTATCATTGTAGTAACAGGCATAATATTTGACAATCCTTGACAATTTTCTATGTAAAAAAACATTCCCTTTGTGGGAAGCAAAAGCCTTACTCCACTTTCCCTGCCAGCTCTCTTCCTGGGAGCTGGCAAAGAACTGAAATGGCTAAGTCTCCTGTTTGCCAGTCACTTCACAGTGTAGATATGTCTTGTCAGCTTCAACCCCCAGCCAATTCACAAGAACACAGAAGGCATGCTGAGATTGGAGAGATGGCACAAAACACACACGAATGAGCCCAGGAGCCCAATGAATGCAGTATCCTGGCTTTGGTGTTAGCAAGTTGCTTAGCAACAGAAATGTTTAAGATGATGGCATCCCTAGTTTGGGAGGGCTGAGGTATTTAGCTGTCCAGCAGACATTAAAATAATCATCAGTTTCGGTGAGAAGGACACATCAAACACTGGACCAACAAGAGCCACCAATGCTGCTTTTTTTTTTTCTTCCTTTGGTCAACTTTTGATTTCCTTCTAGCATTTTAGGGAAATGAAAGCTGAGTTTTTGCTCCTACTTATGTGCAAGCTGCAAAACACTGAAGGTCAGATCTTGGCCTCTGAAGCCAATGCCATTTTTTCTCTACAGACTTCAATGGAGCCAGGTGTTCACCACTATTGTTTTCATGCAGAATTGCCTGCACATATTTGAGAAGAAATCTAAGCCCAAAATACTGCACAACACAAACAGAAAAATAAAATTTAAACATCTCTTCTGTAGTTTGTATGTTTCAGGCAAAGAAGTTAGAGGGTTTGGGGTTTTTTTTAAATTTTCTCATATATCAAAAGTTAGATTGAAATAAGTTTTATTGCATGGTAAATATTTTACTGAGAGACCAAAGTGATATGAGTAAGTGCCATGGAACAATATTCTGGCATCATTCTG